AAAAATAAATACCTTTTACCTATAAAGGACTGGAGTTAATTAAATTGGGCAGTCAGAGAGATCGTTTCTTGGATCTCTTTCCATTATTAAATGTATTGTACACCCGCCACCATTAATTTTTCTGATTACATTTAAGTTTTATTGTTTTAATTGCGGTCAACTATCATCATGCAACCATGTGTTTTAAATCCTTCACAATATATAAATAAGTTTTTCAAGATTATATATCAAACTTTTTATGTTTCGTAGTCTATATATATAATTACTAGTTAATAGCATTTAAGAAAATCTATTTAATAAAATCTCTAAAATTCCCTCCATTTTCGGTTACAAAATTTATCATTAATATTTTTTACTTCTCACATTAATACATCATATTGAGTGTAATCATGTATTTTTCTATTATATTATATAATAGTTAATGTGAATACCAACTAATAGAAATTCATAATAAATATAAATTACATATTATAAACAATTGTTTCAAGTTATTTATTTTAACAGCAATATTATCTTTTTGTTTTGTATCTCATGAAAAAAATTATTTAAAAACAATTAGTAAATTATTTTAATAGCATAGTCAAACAACTTTAGAATCTTATAAGCAATTGTTTTTGAAATAATAATAATAATAATAACAATAATAATAATAATCAAACTGCTATTATCTAATGAAAATAAATAATTGTTCATAATAATAAATAATCATTAATTTATTTTTTCTAATGATTAAATTTTAAAAATGTAATATGTTCATTATCTTAAATTTTAATATTAAATTCTTAAATATTACTTATAATATTTTTTGTACATCTGTGCATGTGCACAGGATATTTACTAGTTCTATTTATGATGCTTTCATAATTTTATATATTTTGTCTTGTGATTTGTTATCTTATATATTAATTTATGGTGCTTCGAATAATCTAGATATGTCTTTATATCAATGCCTATTATGATTTTTAATATTATCAAGCGTTTCACTAACTCAAATCATAGATATTTAAAAGTTAATAACTTTTATATTTACTTTCAAATTTTCATATATCATATAACAAATTAATCATCTCTCAACGAGCTTCAATTTGAAATTAATATTGCACACATAAATAAATATACTTTTAAAAAATAATTTTTTATTTATATCTGTAGTGCGAGTGTAATCGAAGAGTATAAAATAAAAGTTAATTTAATATTATATAGTCAAAATAAATAATATATAAAAATGGTATCAAGTTTTTGAAAAAGAGATAGAATTAATACTCAATAAGGAAAATAAAAATAGACTACGATAAGAAAACTAAACAGGAAATAAATGAGACCTAGAAAATTTCATAATTAGGTGTTGTAGGAAANATATATATATATATATATATATATATATATATATGTATAAGATTGGGTTCAAGTGAGAATGGTGCTGTGTTGGGTTCAAGTGAGAATGGTGCTGAATGAAAGAAATAAGAATACATCTCGGCCATTAGATCGGATGATCGAATGGCTTAAAAAAGTCAAAATTATACCTTCATTAAGGATATTATAGTATTTTTACACACCCAAACAGTGGGACCCACACCACCATACAACTACTAACACATGGGGCCCATATTCCACCTCACCTCTTTCTTTCTCTCTCTCTCTCTCTCTCTCATTCCCTCTCTCTCTCTCTCTCCCACACACACACATATGCCACATCATCCATTAACACACACAAAACACACGCTACACACAACACAACACACGCACACACACTCACACATACACACACAACACATGCACACACACATCAGCACACAAAACACACACGCACACACACACACAAAATATACGCACACATACAGAACACAAACACACATACATACACACATACACATCGAATACGCGTCACACCCAGCCAGGCGCCGGTCTCTGCCTTCGCCACAGCCACCTGACTCTGCCATCACTGACCATCTGCTGACCGTCGGCCTCCTCCACAGCCACCACCTCTGCCTACGTTTCCACCATCGCCGACAATTCCTCTCCCGCCGGACTGCCATCTCGCGATGAACGACCGCCCATTTGTATGTCGCCGTTCTCAGCAAGGCAACTGTTCTTAGCCTACCGCCCACCGTTCTCAGACAAGCTACCTTTCACACAATCCGACCATTACCCTCCCGTCGGAGACACACACACGAAAGACAGGCTGAAAAACGGCTTGTCATCCATCGACCATTCTCTGCCGTCACCTCCATTTATTTCATTAACTAGCAGCGTCTCTCATTCTCGATGGTGGACGAATAATGCATCAAACTCCTACTAACACACAAAGAAAAAAACAATCACACTCTCAAAGTCAATCATACACATTCTCAATATGCATCGGGCAAATAACATAACCAAGTTCCGGAATTTTTAAACATAAAGAATGCTTCATCAAAATCATGGTCAACGCTTTAATTCACAAACCTCACCGGATAAGTGTATACTCTCACTGTCAATAGTGTATAGGGATTAATCGCTTAAATCAATTCAATGTTGAAGAATTACCATAAGCTTGCAAATCGTCAAATATCTCCACCACTCATTGTGCATGCAATTCGTGAATCAAAAAGGACTTCTTATTTGGTTGTAATGTAGGCTGTTTGGTTAGGGTAGGAAAAATATGAATAAAGTGACGAAAACTCGAGCATCTAGAACTACAAAACATGAACTTCACCAATTCATCACCTATTAATCAAGATCAAGCTCAACATAACTTATCTCATACCCCATTTCAATCAAGACTCGCAAGCCATATATGAAATTCAAGATATCCAACCAAACCGCCTCTATTTGAGTCAATGCTAAAATATAAGCAATTGCACATACTTATTCATTTTTTTCTTTCTTTTTTTCAGATTTTTTTTTTCCTTTTTTCTTTTTTTTTTTTCTTTTTTTGTTTCTTTTACCAACTCTTTCAACCTCATTCAACTTCCAACATCAACTTACACTCCCATTTACGTCTTCCCTCTATCCACACCACAACCAATACACTCATCCTCTTCACATGATGTACTCCTAAATGCTCAAGTAAGGACAATGAAAAATATAGATGTAGCTCAATATGTGTCATTCAAAGAAAATAGGCAAAAGCTCAAAAGGGTTAACTAGGGAATAAAAATATCATTTGGTAAGCTAAAAGGTCAAAAAGGCTCAAACAAAAATATGCCTTAAATCATTTTCACAAAAACGCACACACCATGTGGTTTCGATAAAGATACCAATGCAAGTTCTAGAATCCCAACAACAATGAACGATACACTCAACAAAAAAAAATAAGGCTCAAACGCTCACAAAGGATCATATATTCATGAATTAAAAACATCAACCAATCATTCAAATTCACAATTCCATCAATTCTCAAATTCCATCACTTAGCACATCATGCCCGAATTATATATCAAATATGCACAAGAAACTCATCAAGGTGGATCAAAGTCGACCAACTACAACTACTTAAATCCTAAGAAAGCAATAAACGTGCTAAAGCAATAAACCTAACATGCAACTAAATGATATGCAAAGATAATGTAAGATATCTTGTTATCTTTCTCTCTAAAATTCTCAAACCAAAATATCACATCTCCCACCAAACTTGAATGAAATTATGTGAAGCACAAAAGGGAAGAATAGAATTTCAATAAAAGTAAAATAGAGAAACTTACAAAACATCATTGAAGAGATGACAACTATTGGTATAGATCTCAAAGCATGTCCTTCGTCATGTAAATCTCTCCACCGAATGTTCTGCAAGGAAGAAAAACAAAATATCAAATAAACAAAAAATGAAAATAAATAAAAATAAATAAATAAATAAAGCAGTAAACATTGGGTTGCCTCCCAACAAGCGCTAAGTTTAACGTGTTCAGCCAGACGCCTATGAAGTTCGATTAAGAGTTCTTCAAATCAATGTAGGACTGTCCATGGACTGAAAATGTCGCTTTGTTTTGTGCAATCAACTCCAACACTATCGGTGGCCGCACCTTCTTGATCACGAACGACCTCAAGAATCTCGGTTTTAACCTTTTAAGAAATAGATTTGATCCCCACGTATGTTCCTTTTTGTAAAACTTCTCTTCATGCCACTTCTTCTTCTTTTTCTTGTAAGTCCTCGAACTCTCATTGCAAACATCTCGCCCGTCCAGCTCAATAAGCTTGAAAAGCTTCACCTTGCTCACCAAAGACATAAGGGTACCACCCACATATTCATACTCCTTAGGGTCAGGCAGACTTTTTAGATCCAGAATGGGTGGTTTCAACTTCGAAAGGCTCAATTGGGATGAAATAAACGTTGGCAGAACATCTGACACGGCCTCTAACACGGGCCGTGCTTGATGGTCCGGGTCGTGTCGTCGTCCGTGCTCCAAAAGACGTACCTGGGCACCTGACACGGGCACCTGACACGGGCCGTGTCGCAGGCCGTGTTGCATCCCAAAAATCTGATCTTCTCCCAGGTCTCTGACACGGCCACCTGACACGGGCATAGTGCCCGTGTCAGCTCTGCGCGACTTATTTTCAACTCCGATTTTCTCCGTTTTGCTCTCTGACTTCATGATATTTCCCGACTTGATCACATCACCTGAATTAATAGTGTCAATAAAGTTAGTATGCACATTATTATCATGAAATAGAGGCTTATGTATTGAAAATAACACATATTTATCATTAACACGCAAAGTAATTTCTCCCTTCTTGACGTCAATCAACGCATCTCCCGTTGCTAAAAATGGACGCCCTAGAATCAATGGCACGTCACTATCTTCCTCCATGTCCAATACAACAAAATCAACAGAAAAAGTGAAGTTATCAATCTTGACATGCACATCCTCAACAATCCCCTTCGGACACGTTATCGAACGATCCGCCAATTTCAAAGTCATTGTAGATGGCTTCACTTCTCCCAATCCGAGCTTCATGAAAATTGACAAAGGCATGAGATTAATACACTAAGATCACATAAAGCTTTGCTAAAGAACATATTCCCAATAGTGCAAGAAATCGTAAAGCTCCCGGGGTCCTTAAGCTTCAGAGGAATCGTGCGTTGGAGGATCGCACTACTCTCTTCCGTTAAGGTCACCGTCTCATGTTCCTCAATCTCCCTCTTCTTCGCAAATCGTTGAGGAAAAGGTAAAGGGATAGAAAGTTTAGGAGAGCCAATGTTGGAATTAAATGTAATCCCAGGCCTAGACGTTGCTATCACACTTGGTTCCTTCATTAACTCATCACAAACTTTCTCCTCTTCACTTCGTAGATAGATGGCATGACATTGCTCTTTTGGGTTCAACTCGGTATTGCTAGGAAATTGACCCCTTTGGTGCTGGCTTCCCACGGCCTTGGCCAATTGACCAATTTTCATCTCCAAATTTTTCATTTGAGCCTCCATTGTCGTAGCCAACTGTGTCACATGATTCTCAATCTTGTCCAACTTCTCTTCATCTCTGTTGAAACGATTTCTCGTCTCATTCATGAAAGCTACCAGAATATTTTCCATGTCCATCTTCTTCTCTTCGACAATCTCGCCATTCACCACCTTAAACCCTGGCGGTGGTTGGAGCACATTCTTTGTATTTTCATAGGAAAAATTTCATGATTCCTATTATTCAGGTGATAAAAACCCGGCACCGGATTAGGGCGATAGTTGCTGAAGTTTCGATTATTGATAAAATTGGCCTCTTCTAAGGGATACGGTGGTAACACATTACCTTGTACTCCACTCACCTCATCAGCTCTTTTCGTCAAAGCATTCAATTTTGTCGTCAACGACGACATCTGAACCGCTAACTCCTTAATTGGATCAGAAGATGTCACCTCCGCCACACGTCTAATGCTCGACCTCTCGGAAGGCCACTGATAACTATGCATGGCCATCTCTTCCAACAAATTGGACGCTTCCTCCGGTGTTTTAGCCAATAGAGCTCCTCCAGCTGCCGCATCTACAAAGGCTCTCGTTTGGCCCAACAACCCGTTATAGAAGAAACAAAGTTGTTGATCCTCCGGAAAACCATGTTGAGGGCATTTTCTCAATAATTCTCTAAATCGATCCCACGCCTCGTATAAAGGCTCCGAGTCTTGCTGACTAAATTGGGTAATCTCGCTTTTGAGTTGCATCGACTTGCTTGGAGGAAAATATTTAAGCAGGAACTTCTGGTTCAACTCCTCCCAAGTAGTAATGCTCCCATCAGAAATCATCGACAACCAATTCCGAGCTTTATCCCTTAGAGAAAAAGGGAATAGACGCAGCCGTATGGCATCCTCAGAGACACCATTGTACTTGACCAAGTCACAGATTTGCAAAAACTGGGTCAAGTGTTGATTCGGATCCTCGGTCGGGTGTCCACCAAATTGGTTGTTTTGCACCATCGAGATATAGCAGGGCTTCAGTTCGAAATTATTCGCATTGACGGGTATATGCGCGATCCCGCCAAAATTCTTATTAAATTGAGGCCGAAAGTGGTCACGAATCGCTTGCCTCGGTTGTTCTTGCTCGTCCATTGTGCACTCTGAATTGCCCCTTCTTTTTCTAGTTGTTGCACTATTGCGTCTAGCGAATGCTTCGACTTCGTCAATCAAGGGTGGTAGTTGTGCACCTTTAGAGCGAGTTAACATGCACTTCCTGAAATCACGAATAGGAGAGATTATGTCACCAAAAATAATAAAAAAAAATATCTAAATTAAAATTTTCACTATCTATCGTAATATTGATATAAATAATTATATTAGTCCCCGGCAACGGCGCCAAAAACTTGTTCGCCTATATTTTTAAAGCTCGACCGCAAGTGTACGGCTTCGCTAGTAGTATGTGGCAAGCAAGGTCGTATCCCAAGAGACCAAATAATCAATATATCAAGTACTAGATTATGATAATGTCAATTTTATTTAGACGATCGAATATGAGATGTATCAGCTAACTAAGAAAATAAATCAAAGGAAAATAAAACAAAAATAAAGAACTAGCTAGAAAAACACGTAAGAGGATATATGAGAACGATAGATTCTAAGACTTTGGTTTCAATTAATAGTTGGGTTCCTTCAGAAATATCACAACCAATGTTTTCTTTATCTTCCCTATAAGATTATCACAAATTTAGCTTATCGTCCCTCTCAAGATCGATAAAACCGTAGATTAAATCACATATATTAGCGTCTCCACTCAACACATGCAATTCAACTCCAAATAGATTAAAAGATCCAATATCCTCACAACAACCTACTAATCTCTCGATTCAAGCAAGTAAATTGTGTCAAATATTAAAGACCTAATATTGAACTCATCTCTCGAATTATGAACAATGTTGTCAAACATGTAAAAGCATTGATCAAGTGCTAAACATGAAACAAGAACAAAATATTTGAATAGGGTTCAAAAGAAAAACAATCAGTTATAATAATTCATCCAAAATCCCAACATATTAATCTACTACCAAGTCCTAGAATCAAATAAATTAGCCACTCATGTTTGAATTCAAATACATAGACATATTAGAAATCAACATGATCAATGATTAATAAAAGTTCAAAAGGGAAGAAGAAATGAAAAACTAGGAATCCCGTCGATCTTTCAATCTCCTTGATCCCTTTGTGGTTGATCTTCTTTTGCTCCCCAATTGCTTCTCTTGTGTGTTCTAGGGCTTCTCTCATGTGTTTTTTTTCGTTTTTCCCTTCAATAATAGGTTAAATATGTCTCTTTTTATGTCCAAAAACCTTCTCCTCGTCAAAATAGGCAAGTATTAAAAAACTGTTTCCGCACGCGACACGGCCATTCTGCCCGTGTCACAGGCCGTGTCGCAGACCGTGTCAGGTTCAATGCCTCGGAATGCCCCTGTTATCGTGACACGACCTCTGACATGGGCATGGTGCCCGTGTCACCGTCCGTGTCACGTCCCAGCACACTTGTTCTTGTCCGTTTCACTCGTTTCTTCCATTTTTCTCATCCGTGCATCAATCCATCATCATCTCGGGGGTCCTAAGTACTCACCATGCGCCTCCAATAGCCACAAGCTCTACAAATATGTGAAATTATCTACAAAACAGGCACGTGTAATACCTTTCCAATAAATAGAGAATTAAAGCACAAATATGCAATTTGTACACCAATAATGCAATGTCTAAGCTCTAGATAATCAATAAATATGGTGTAAAATCACACATGAACACTCTCCCGCCGGACTGCCATCTCGCGATGAACGACCGCCCATTTGTATGTCGCCGTTCTCAGCAAGGCAACTGTTCTTAGCCTACCGCCCACCGTTCTCAGACAAGCTACCTTTCACACAATCCGACCATTACCCTCCCGTCGGAGACACACACACGAAAGACAGGCTGAAAAACGGCTTGTCATCCATCGACCATTCTCTGCCGTCACCTCCATTTATTTCATTAACTAGCAGCGTCTCTCATTCTCGACGTCGAGAAGGTCATCTTCTCCGGTGACACAAACCAGAGAAAGTCGTCTGCAGTGACATGTCCTCTCGGTCGAGTGGTTCCCGACGAAAAAGTGCCGGTTGAAATGGCCGGACAGACATGGATATTGATTTTGGATTGGGACTTGTGGTTGAGAATTTGATATTTCATCGGGACTAAATTACAATTTCTATATTCTTTTTATATTTCAATTTAGCCAATGGGCTAAATCTACAACTAATGAAGATTGAATATATTTCAATTTGGTACATGGGCCTAATGTATAATTTTCAGAAAATTTAATAAATGTGTAATAAATTTGNATATGGACATTTACTCACAAAACAAATTAATATCCACCACATTAGTGGGCCCCACCCAAATTAAACCATTTCACCTTCCCAATTTCACTTTCCCCCATACCCACCCGTCACCTACCTCTCTCTCTCTCCCTCTCTCTCTCTCTCTCTCTCTCACACACACACACACACACATATACACACACACGCACATTCACACACACCTCACGGACATGCACACAGACCCACAGACCGGCCAGGTGCACGCCAGTCACCGGCCATCCGCAGAGCGCCGCCGCAAGCCCCCAGCCCTTCGCCACCACCCGCCCCCCGTCGTCCATTCGGAGAGTCCGCCGCGCACAACCTTTATCTACCACCCGTCGCCTCCGACCGGCACCTCACACCAGCACAACACTCATTGACGCCCACAACCACTGCACTATCCCGCCGCCAACAGCCACTGCACTATCCCACTGCCAACAGCCGTCACTCACCTTGCCGTCGAATAACAGTCTCTTCCTGTCACTGTGGTGATGCACTGGCGACGTCTCCTCCTTTCCACAGCCACATCCACCCGTACCAATGCCGTTATTCGGATTGCGCCGTCAATCGACGCTGGAAAACTTTCAACAGCCACCGGAAATATGATAGCAAGGGTTGGGGAAGAAAGGAATGTATGGACATCACAATTTTGAGTTAGATATTTCCTAGGGGCTTGATTGCAAATTTGTAAAATTTGCTTAATTGTCAATTTAGTAATTTAGGGTTTCATTGTGTTTTTTTTTTTCAATTAGATAGTTTTGAGACCAAATATTAAGTTCAAGACCAAATATTTAATTTATACCAATATTCTCAAAATGCATATTAATGTTAAATAAAGTGTACAATATATAAAATTTTTAATATCTCAAATTTTAATACATAAAAAATATTACAATAATAATTATATTTTTATAATAATAAATAATAAATTATTTAAGCTATTAAGGATAATTTTATGTACAATTATATCTACTAAAAATAGTTTTCAAACACACATAATTTATATGTGGTCATATAAAAGTATTGCACTTTATATAATAACATGTTGCACATTATAAAACAAAATATTGCAATTTATCACACACTACACAATTAATGTCAACAGCTCCCGTCAAAATATTACGCAAGATAAATTTAAAAAACAGATCTACATAATAATTTAATATCCACCACATAACCTATACACAAAAACACAAACATGCTAACGTACCAAACTTTTAGTATTGCACTTTATATATAAACATGTTGCACTTTATAAGACAATATGTTGCATTTTATCACTACACTCAATAATTAGCCTCAATAGCTTCACGCTAAAAAGTTCCACTCAACATAAATTTAAAAAACGAATGTACATAATACTTTAACATCAATCACATAATTTATCCACACGAATCACAAATATGTTAACGTACCAAAAAATCAGTAGTTTACTTATACATCGACATGCATGATGCACTTTATAAACAGCACGTCGCACTTTAGAAAACATCACGATGCACTTTATCATGACTATCAGATTGTACAATAAAGATCAAAACCAACCGAACTCAAAAATTTTCAACCAAACATAATATAAAAAATAATAAATAACATTATTAACCTACTAATTATAATTTTAATATAAACAACAAACTATTTCAATAATTTAAGGTAATTTGCTTATGCCGTACAAATCAAGTAATTATGTTCAACTTCATTTGATTGTGACAAATCCGGAGTTCAATGTGCAAAATACCATCAACCGACACCGCGCACCATAATGATATACGAATTGCACATTGATAACGGTCATGTTGCACATTATATGTTGTTTACATATACATTATATTTTTAAACAAACATAATATAAAGTATTAATAAAAAAATACTAAAATACTAAATAAAAATTTTTATAATACAAATAATAATTTATTTTGGTTATACCGGTTAACCGTTATGTCGGTTCAATATTAGTTTGTATTGGGACAAGAGTTCGGCAAGTTTGCTTGTTCGAATTTCAACACAAATATATCAATTTTGACATTTCAATCAATCAATTCAACGAGACCAACTAATGAATAACTTAAACAAAGTGGCTTTTCGATAAATTTGTAAACTTTTATATGTATAGGCATCAATAAATTTATGATTTCATAAAAATATGGTGTTATTTTTTAATGTGCAATTTCTTACACGTTAATGTGCAATGTCTTACACGTTAATGTGCACTTTATGTAACATTGTTGTGCAATGACTAAATTTTTATTATATTACATATTGACCACAAACTAAATTAAAATACAATAAGATTTTACAATTTGCAATAAAGTCCCTAAACTATATCAAATTCTCATAAAAAAAAACCCACAATTTAAAAAGTTGAACATTACAATTCAAGTCTGTCGGGGTTCACTCAAGCCGATTTCTTCAACGCCGCCGCCGCCGCCGTACTCATCGCCCCTGTCCCGCCCAACCCACGCCGTCCTCAATTAAAAAAAAAAATAATAATCCACTGCACCAGGTCGTCGCCGCCACCGTCCATTCTCCTCCGCCGTCCTCTCACAGCCGCCATCGTCTGTCAACCGACACCCTGTCCATACCGACACCATCACCCAAACACACACACACACAGACAAGTTGGAATCGCAGATGGCAGACTGGTTGGGTTTGTTGGCGATGCCGGCGAGGAGGAAGGGTTGTGTGTTGTCGGGAAATTCTGAGTCGCCGACATCTCCTGTCACGGCGATAGAGTTGGTTGTATGCCAGAGCCGGCTGGTGGGAGCCGCGTCCGGCGAACCTATACAGGTGACAGGCTGGTTTCCGCCGTTGCTCGCGTGCGTCTCTGGCGATGGGCTACGGAGGCGCGGCGGCGGTGCTCCGCCGCTGAGGAGGCGATGGGCCGTTTTCTCTGTGTGTGGAGATGTGTGTGTGTGTGTGTGTGTGTGTGTGTGTGTGTGTGTTTGTGTGTGTAGGTGGGTGGTGAAGAATGTGAGCGACGGTAGGTGGAGAGGGGTGTAGGGTTAATGTGTGAGGTTGTGGGTCCCTCATGTGTTTGATACAAATGTCTAAATTATCCTTAGTTAGTGGTAAAATCTATATATTTGACCATCATGTATCTACTTCTTTACCATATTGCCATTAATGATTGACCATTATTTATTAAAGGTTAACTTGATCATGACCATTAGTATGATGTATCTAATGGTCCAGATTCATCTTACTTCTTTCACTATCTACCATTCTCATATGATCCCTACAAATATGTATATACTTTTAATTATCATTTCAATTATTAACTTATAACTATATGTGTTAATTTGTATTTTACAAATAAAATAAAATTGTAGATTATGAAGAAATAGAATAATTGATTGTAAATTTTTAAAAAGCTTAATATCAAATTATTGATATGGCATCATTAAAAACAAGAATAAAAATATTAAGTAGAAATAAAATAATTGATTGAAAAAAATATAAAAAGTAGTTCAAGTATTGATATCACATTACCTAAAATAAATAGAAAAAGTCTTACAATAAATGGTAAAAATATTACTAAAAGGAAATAAAAAAGAATGTTTAAAAAAAATTCATATGAAGTAAGTAATATTTTTTCATTTTTGGCTGAAAAATCATACTATTTCAAGTTAATACAAACCTTTTTATATATACTAGTGCGTGGCATGTGCGATGCACGAATAAACAATATTACGATTATATTATAAGTTAAATATATTTATAAGACTAATCATGATTTACTCATTGTTTTTAAATTGGACCTGCTAGATAGTCCATCCGGATGAATCAAGAACAAGTTTATCAACCGATCTAGTTCGCTTGAATAAAATGTTTGGTAGCGAACCCGTCAACACCAACCAATTGGAATGGTAGGATAGGTACGATTTTTTAAATAAGTTTTATATTTAAAATTATTTTAAATGAATATACATATGTAAATAAAATGTAAACTTATAAATTGTTTAAGAATTAGTTTAAACATTTGAAATTTTAAATTGTTTAGATATTTAAATAATACCTTTTATTTAAATTTATTACAATAAGTACTATGGTTGTAAAAGACCTATGACTGGCTGGAATCGGCTTGATTTCGAGCTCCTCGCCGGTTGAACGCCTTTAGACCTGTAAAAACTCTCACACCGGAGGGATTTTTCGGTGAAGAGCCTCCGATACGTAAGTTAGCACTTGTAGAAGATGAAATACAGTATGTAAATGTATGTAAAGAGTGTAATGTGATAATGGGCATAACTAACTCCCTTATATAAGAAGGTGATACCTTGTTGCCCCAGGCTGCCTGAATAGGCTACCCAAACAACACAGGCTTCACAAACTACCTGATAGTACAGCCCAAATTGCCCGATTCTACTAGGCCATGTGGCCCTATCCACGTTTGGTCTTGTTTTGTGTTGTTCTTATGTGTTTTTGTTGTTTATGGTGTTGTGGGTTTTGTTGTGTTTGTGTTGTTTGTTTTATGGTTTTTTTTTGTGTTTTTCTCCCTTTGGGAACTGTGTTGCTTCTCCTTGATGGGAACTGTGTGGATTCTCCCTATTGGGACTTTTTAATTCTCGTGAGTACGTGTGTTGTGGTGTATAGGCTATCCTTTGGATTGTCCATTCACTAGATTCAGCTAGGTAGCTGCTTGGCTATTTCTGATTGTTATTCAGATGTAATTATGTGTTTCTTTTATAAAACACCTATCGTTTCGTTAAAAAAAAAAAACAAAAAACAAAAAAAAAATTACAATTGAACAACGCATAGACCTTGGCAATCCCAATTTTGTAAAATCAATCTCCTTTGAATAAATAATGAAAAGTACCTTAAAGATAAAAATATAATAAAAACACATAAAATAACTAAAATAACTAAATATAGAAAAGGGAACTTGGGATATGAACACATATAATCCAAAAAATCCGCAAAAAGGTAAAGACCTTAATATATAAAAGAACTAAATATTTAAATAGATAGATATAATATGTAAAGCCTATTATATTAGAAATTAGACGTTCAGAAACAGAAATTATTGTTGCTTAAGGGTATTTTTCTGTTACTAATATACAATAGAAACAAATAAATTTTGTTTCATAATTGGTTAGTGAAAACAGGGTGGCTAATGCTTGGAAACGGAAAACTGTCGTTACTGTTTGCAACGATTTTTGCAACAAACAAAATCATTCTAATAGTAGAGTAGTAGCAACTAAATCTTTAACTGATATATTTGTTTCTAATATTTACTACCAGCAACCGAATCAGAAATGGAAATGTCCGTTACTAATTTATTTCATTAGCTACTATTTTTGTAAATGATCTTTTTGTTCCTAATATGTCTATATTAGCAACCATATCATTAACCAAAAAATTTGTTGCTCATATTATAAATTATATACCAAAATTATAATGAAATATTACTTTTTTTATTATTTTTATTATCATTCAACAAATCTAAAACACAGTACGTTGAATTTATGTTTTAATGGTTGTAAATTTGAATGTTTTATATTTTGTATAAATAATAATTTACAAAATAAGAGAAGAATAACAGAATAACTAAAAATGAAGAACACAATAGCAAAACATATAATTTTATTCATTATTAAACATAATTTACATATCAACGTTCCATCACATAAAAAACAGCAAACAAATATTTCCATCACATATTTTAACATTTGACTATCCACACGCATCATTTGACAAGATTTTTCATATTCTTGGGCATCATATATGAATCTATCATAAATGGGTGGACAGTTAAGGGCCACAGCCTATCGTGCTTCTCAATCTTTATGTTCAACTGTTCCTCCTGTATCTTTCTATCTAATTGTTCTTCCTGTAATAAAATAATAAAAAATGATATATTACAATTATAAATATATTCATTGTACATATACTAAAATATGTGATAGAAAAAGTAGATTGCACTTATAAATATATTAATTATGCATATATTAAATTATATGTAATTATAATTATATAGCTAATTAATACAATATAATACCTGTAAATGAAAAATCATCTCATGAAATTCGTATGCTGGTGGTAAGTTCAAGTCCAGACACTCTACAATTTCTAGCATATCTGGTTGAATGTGTGCATCTCTGTCAACTAATACTTCAAGGTTGAAAGAAGTCTTCCCTTCATATGGCGGCAGAAAATTCAAATCTAATGGCTCCTTCCATCCCATAGTTTGTGTGGCACGACAACATTTTATTCTCTGCATCTTTTTAACCGATTTCTGTAAAAGAAAGAATACAACATGAGTAAAAAATTCCTACATCTCGAGAGAACAAGAAAAAATAGCTAATAATACTTCTTTAACTGCCTACTGTGAATGAGGAAGAAGACGTGGGTGATAGTGGAAGTGGGAGTAGTTTATTTATATATGAATAATTAACAGATATAAATTATTAAAAGTAGTTATTATCTAGGTATATGAGTGTAATATATTTTTTGGGTTTTGAGGAAAAATACTATTTATTAGTGTTAATATATTTTTTATAGGGTTAATAACTTTTTCCCATCAGAACTATCACGATTTTGGCGCATCACCATATGAACTTTTTTTTTCTACAAACCATCATCTAACTACACGGACTTGTCAAATTGCCCCCTTAACAGGAAACAAAAGTAGTTTTGACTAAAAAAAACTGATTTTTGAGGACATTTCAGGAATTTTTTCAAAAAAAAAAAAGAAAGAAAATAGCAACGTTCAGTTGGCACCAACAGCCACCTCCAAACCATAATCTCCAGAGACTTTGACCACATCATTTTCACCCTTGACAACATCACCCCCCCATTCACAAAACTCATCGCCATGTCCTCCACGAGCCAATGCGTCCTGGGCCTCGGTGGCTCGGAGCTATGTCCACCATCTTTTTCGTGGCCTCGAGCTGGGTTAGCGTTTCTTGGGCGAGCGAGTGGGCTCGAGTTTCGTAAGCCTTGCTGTCAGTGAGCTGGGCCTTCATTTCCTCGACGAGGGCGAGTGTTTCAGAGAGGTTCTGTTTCAGCTTGCTGAGCTCGTTTTCCAAGATTTCTTGATGGGTCTCGGGTTTGGGCTCGGAGAACTGTTCCTGGAGTGCCGATAGTTGTTGTCTGGATTGCTCGGAGTCTTTCTCAGCTTGCTCCTTTAGTTCCTAGGTCGAGCGAAGTTGATCCTTCAAGAGCTTGAGGTCATTCTCGAGATGAGAAATCTGGTTCTCAAGCTCAGAAAACTCGGCTTGTGCGCTTTTTTCTGTAACATAATTACACCAAAAAGTCTATTTATTGAACAAAATGCATTAAGTCTGTTGGTACTATCACAATTTTAAGCATTAAGTCTCAAACACTTGGTACAAAATGCATCACTGCTAGCATGATGTAGACACAGCTCCAAGAGCATCAGAAAATCATGTGAAAAAAAAGGGCTCAAATGAGCTTGAAAGGGAGCTGCCATGGAGTCGATCTGGGTACCTCGACCTTATCCTTTATCCTCTTTATTTTCTGTTCCTTTTTGGGCCTGCAAATCACGTACGGACCTTTGAATCTCTTCCCTTTCTTTATTGGTCTTCTTATCTCCTCGACCACACAGGATAGCACTATACGGCACCGCTGCCATCGACGACGAGAGAGAGGATAAAGCCACCTGTCACTCGGTGGCGGTTGATTGATTGAATTCCGATTTCGTAATAGCAAGGATGAATTTAACCCCGCCATGTTTCATTTTTTTTTTTTTTCTTTTTTTTTTTTTTGAAAAGTGTGTGAAATTACTAAAATACCATTAAAAATCAGCTTTTTTCAATCAAACCATTTTTATATCCGGTTTAGGGGGCACTTTGACAAACCCGTATAGTTCATATGGTGGTTTGTAAAAAAAAATAGTTTATACGATGATGCGCCAAAATCAGGATAGTTCAGATGGGAAAAAGTTATTAACCTTTTTTTATATTTTTAAATTAATAAAATGCAAATTTTGTTAATATATGTTTTCAATTGAAAAATAATATTTAAATATTTTATTTGGAAGAGAGTATATATAACACCACTTTGTTTATATATATTTTTTTAAAATAGTAACTAACGATCTTTACCTTTCTTTAATTATTATAAAAGTATAATATAACATGTTTTTTTTTATATTTTCAAACCGAGGTAAGATCAATTCATGGCTAATTTTCAGTCCCTTTAATGTTATTCAAAAATAGTATATAAGACAATCATTTTTGACATTAATCATCATAATGAATCTTTTAACTGAAATTCAAATTTTAATAAAATCTTATTACATACATTTAATTTCAACAATTAATTATTGTATTTAATTCTAATTGAACCTAGCCAGCTAAATAAAGGAAATGTGGTTTCATAATATTACTAAATTAGATTCCATTGCAAAAATTCATAACTATGATACCATTTTAAATCTGTTACAAAATTATGTTACTAATACCGTAATTATGGCACCGATACTAATCTGTTGCAAAAATTCGTTACTAATGCATCGAATTCTAAATCTTAAGGCTTAGGGCGTGTTTGTATACAAATATATTCGCTCAAAATGAGTTTTTTTGGTTGACCATAATGGTAGTTGGTAGTGGGATTTTGAATTTATATTAAAATATTATTTAAAATAAAATACTTAAAGTCGATTTGATGTAAAAGTAGGAGAGAGATGATATGAAGTGATAGTTAGTTAAAATTATGCGAGTTGATAAATAGTGAATTAAAGTTGATGTGATGTGTAAGAATATTTTGTTGATATTATTTAATTATATTAAATAAGTTAAATTTTGAATATAAATTGAGTGAATTTATATACAAACACATTACTATGAAAAGAAACATGGTACATTAATACTAAAATATTTCATTGAGATAAAACAAGCCAAAATAATCTCATATGCCATCTAACTTAAATATATGTTGTCAATCATACAAGTAAATGTTGAAAGCTGAACACAATATCTTAAAAATTCTATTTAATTTGCCAAATAGTGTTATCCCACCTCCTCAAATTCTGTTGATCATAGCATAAAACTGGAACAGGTGGCAAAAGAGAACCACAAACTAGATTAATACACAATATCAATAGAAAATCTATCTATATATATATATTAATAAGAATTACCATTTACCAAAAATAGGAGCAAAATAATAGATCAAAATTTAATGCAACCTATAAATAGTAAGTTTTATTGTTTTCTTATTTTTTTTCTTTAAAAATCATACAACATTAAATGCTACATTAAATATCGGGTTTTATTTTATTTTATTATTTAAAAAATCTGGCTAAAATTTGTTAAGTGTGTATGTTTTTATTTTTATTTTTTTTCTTAGAAACAACGAACAATATTAAAATCTCGGTCTCTATATTTATAAAATCTCAATTCAAAATATAACAAAAGTTTTAGAATCTCGATCTTTATATTTGTGACTTTAAAAAAATATTGATCGCAAAAAATATTCTTTAATTACAGAATCAATCAATTACCGTGTTTATTTTTTATTAATATGCATAAAATAAAAATAATTAATTCATTTATAGATATATAATTTATAATCTTAATATACTATCATTTGGTGTAGACATTTTATGAATCATAAAATATTTTTATTTCATAAAATTAAATATATTTAAATAAAATAAGAAAATTTCTTCAGATCAATCGGGTGATTGAATCAGGGTACTGCCCATGTTGATTGAATTACTTTTAGGTGATATTTAAAATAGTCAAAAAATTTGATACAACTTGGTTGGTTCCAGGGGACTAAGTTATGTATCAATTCGACTACACCAAATTGATTATTGAACTTAAATATACATTTTATATTGAAAATATTTTATTACGTGAATGTGATGTGTCCAAACTTCAAATAATCGTATTAACAATACTTTTATGACAACATCTTTAATGATCTATGAATATTTATATATCATTTTATTAATATTTATGTGAATTATATAATATTTTAGTATAATATTTATTAATGTACAGTAAATATGAGGTGTTCAGAACTGGACCGTCATCGAAACGATCAAACTATTTTTATTAACTCATTTGTGGTTTGTTCATATTTTAATTTATAAATATTTTAATATATATATATATATATATATATATATAGATATAGTACTTTTTGTAATAAATTTAAATAAAATGAGTTACTTAGATATCTAAATAATTTATAAATTCAAATTTTTAAACTAATTGATAAATAATTTATAAATCTCTATTTTATTTAAATATATAATTTTATTTAAAATAATTTTAAATATAACAAAATTTATTTAGAAAATCGTATCGATCCTACCAGTCTAACCGACTGGTGTTGATTGGATTCGAGAGCAAATATTTTATTCAAGCGAACTAGACTGATTNACTAAAATACCAATAGCACAAAGAAAATAAATAGAGAAACCAAATTATTTTTCGCATTAGTGACCCACTAAATGTGCCAACGAAATGTAGACCTCTACCCTCCACGTGGATGATTCCCCACTAACAACCTCACGTGACGTCTCCCTTCTGCACGTGCCACCCGTCCGCCTCCCGCCCCTCCCTCCTCCGTATCGCCGCCGCGCACCACCGCCGCCGTCTCCCGCACCAACCACTCCGTAATCTCCCCTTCAATCTCACAGACCAATCTCTCTCTTTCCTCCCCCAAAAATTCGCTATTCAATTTCGGCCTCCGCAAATCCCTCTCAATCAACGAGTCGATATCCTCCAGAACTCTGCAGTCCGCCGCCGGAAAATCCCCTATTCGCCGGCACAGTTCGCCGCACAGATCTAAATTGTCAGCCGCAATCGTGTTAAGATCGGCGCCCCACGGCATGAAATCCAGCTTCGGTTTTAGGATCTCGGCCAGAAGCTCGTCCGCTAGCTGAAAGATCAGCTTCCGATTGCAGCGGCGGCTCAAAATTCCGGCGCCGCCGGCGGCGAGCTCGAGGTGGTAGAAGATGGAGGGATCTAGCGGGTGAGAAGCTGTGCGCGATTTGCCTAAGGTTGAAGGGGTGAATCTGCTGTTGAGGCCCGCGCGTTTGAGGATTTTCTGGACGTAGTCTGTGTATTCCGGCGCGGTGGCGCAACCGTTAATTCTGTCAGGAAGGACGGTGGAGATTTGATCTGGCTGTAGGGACGCCTGCTTGTACGAACGGCCCGGATTACGAGATAACTGTGTGCTCCTTTTCGATGACAGGGCATCTGATACCTGTGACTGCAAATTTTTCCCCACATGCCTAATTATTTATTATTTTGAATATATTGAATAATACTAAATAATTGCCAACTCTACCCCGATACATATTTTTTGGATTTTTCTCAACTCTTTTAATGTTTGTGTCTAATTTCCTTCGTACACTGGATGGTAGGTAAGAAGGGACCATTTGTGCATTATTTTCAGGTATATACATTTGTTAGAAATTTCAAAAAAAAAAATATATATATATAGAAAAAAAGAAAATTGGAATATATCTTCTTTTGTTAATTAAATAAATTAAAAAACAAATTTATAGGTCGATATTAATAATCAAAAGTATTGTGTTCCTCTATTTTTAAGTGGAATGTATAAATGTATTATTAAGGTTGTATAAAGCAAAAACAAAAATATATTCTACAAACGAATTAGTCAGTTCATATCATCATAGGTTTCTTAAAGCTGATTGTTTTCATTTTCCAAAAGTATTCTTGTGCTGAATCTTTTACGATAATTAGATAAAAAGGATAGTAAATACTACGCACGGCCCAATCACATCTTTTTGACCAGATTTTGAATCTTTTAAACGAATATCACTTATCATAATTTTCTAGTCATGCACACTGCTAAGATTATTGCTCTAAAAATTGGATAAACAACCACGATTGATACAAGGTGATGACAAGTATTCTTGATTTTTGTATAGATGGCCTTTGAAAATGTTTGAATAACATAAGGGCGTATATATGATAGTTTTTTTAATTTATTTTTGTGAAAATGAAATTTAATTATATATATGGATATAGAGCATTATAAAATCGAAAAGACACTATTCATATTTCAAACAATATAATTCTTATAAATGTATGATCTTTTGAATAAATTTAATATTTGACCATATTAAATAACATATTAATATATTATAATTAATATTTGGCCATAAAAATATAATATTGATTAGGCGCCGTCTAATTTTAGGCCCTACTCGCTATCGATTGTTCCAAAATTACACTAAAATATGTATATTAAGGAAGAGTATTTAAAGCATTAAATGGAAGAATAACAAGCTGTACCAAAAAGCATGAGATTTATTTTCAGCCAAAAAAATAAATAAGTAAATGAAAATAAAAAGAATGAAAGTGATGTTGGAAAGACGTTGATTACCTGTTTTTGTGGTAATTTTGTAGCATGAGGTGAAGGATTTTTCTTGACTGGCAGAATTGTGGGCCCATTCACATTCACAATTTCACTCGAAGCTGATTCTTTCTTCACCTTCTTCTTCTTCTTCTCCTCCTCCTTCAAGTTATTTGCTCTGCCTTTCCTAATAAAAGCTTCCGATTTCTGGTCCGCAACAGAATAATCAAAAGTTTGGGGACCTGTCTGTAATTTCACCAAACCAGAAGAAATATTTCCATTTCCAACCCCAACTTTGTTCCCATCCCTCAAAATCCCCCTCGGCTGATCATTTTCAAAGCCGGAGTTTCGTGGACTTTTGATTCCTAAACTAGTGACAGCTGTTTTCCTTTTGGAGTCCAATAAAGATTTAATTTTCGGAGGAGCATTGTTGTTTTTGTGAGAAAAGGCTAAGTTTTTGTCCCTTCTGATAATCTCCTCTCTATCCCCATAATTAATTGTGTTGGTGATGTCAACCAAGCCAGCTCTCGCTTTTTCCTTGTTAAATGTTGCACTTTTGCCCCTCATTTTTGCCGAAATTGCGGATTGGGTCTCCTTGTTTATCTGTAGAGAGAGCCTGTGGTACTCGAAATCCGATTTCCGTCTGGCACCGATGCTGATGTCATCACTTGCTGTGTGTTTATGTTTGTGAGGTTTTGTTTGGGGAGAGGAATTTGAGTTATTGGATTGTGGGAGAAGATCAAGGCCCATAAGCCTGGCCACAAGGTTTGGGGTTGTAATTGGGCCTGGGGAACAATCTGAAAATACAATATTATTCTCCTCTTTTGTTGATACTGAACCAATTTTTGTTTTGATTTTGCTAATACCCACCTGAAAAGGAAAAAGGAAATAAATCTGTCAAGAGATTGAGCCAAACAGCAGTATTGGAAATTTGGAATTAAGGAGATTGTGATTATGACAACAGTTAATTTTTCTTTCTTTTTCTTCTTTTATTTCTTTTGGTTTTATTATCTGTCTCATCTTAAACAAACAGTTTATGCATCGGGAAAGGGAAAATGTTTTTACTATCGTATAGGTACAGAGCTAGTTTAATTTTTTTTTTTTAATTTTTTTTTTAATCGAAAAAACTGACCATCTCTGAATAATCTATATAATATATACACTCACCGGAAAATTTGAATTTTCATCATCATCTTCTACTTCTTCTTCTTTCATGGCTGATTCAAATACCTCCAAGCTGTTTCTTGGTGCCTCTATTCCTGCATGAAAAAAGCGGTTGTACAATTAATGAAAATGAAATGCACTCAATGACTCAAATCATTCAAGCAAGGAAAATTATATTCTTTAAAAAAAAAATTAATAATAAATGAAAAGCATGAAAAATAATTAGCTGCATATATACATATATATGTATATATTCTCAACAATATGTTAATAAAAAAATGAGACCTTCAGATTTGGTAGTGGATTGTCGATGAAGAAAGTGGGGCTGGTAACGAAAAGGATGATGTGGCAAATCAAATATCTGGAAAACAGCACAAATGCAGCCGCCGGAAGAACTCATTTCCTCACCATCTTTTCCCTTTGAACGACGTCGTCTCCTGCCCATCCACTGCAGCCACTCTCTCACCATTTTCTTCTAATTCTGCTTCACTTTTTTTTTTTATTTTTTTGCTTTGATTTTATTTCTCACCTGAAAAAAACGATAAATAGCGTAATTGGAATATGTATATATTATTTTTTTTTGAAATTTGGTTGAAAATGACACGAGTGATAGTTAAAGAGGATGAAAGGCTGCAGAGAAAGAGGACATAAGAGGAAAGCTACTATTGCAATGCAGTAGAGCTCAACGAGCGGGAAATACGGATCCCATTTTTAATGATAAGGTTAAAAAA